GAAAGTAACCAGGGCCTGACCATGTCAGGTGTTGCCAGCCATGGTAAGGACTTTGGAACTTATTCTAGTTGTTGTATGATACCACTGCAGGGTTTGAGCAGAGGAGAAATGTGATCAGATTTAGGTTCTCAAAGGTTCATCCTATCTCTGTGTAGATAAAAAACTAAAAATGGCACAAAGACAAACACAGGGTGATCAGTCACAAGACTATTACAGTAATTCAGATGAGAAATGATAGTGCTTTCATCAAGGGCAATAGTAGTAGAGATGAGGAGAAATGACTGGATTTTAGATTTATTCTGCAGGTGGGCAGACAAAATTTGCTGATGGATCAGATGTAGCATAAAGGACAATGAGAGAAGTCAAGAATGATTCCAAGGTTTTGGCCTTAGTCAAAGAGGTAAACAGAGATGCCATTTGCTGAGATGTGGGATACAGAGAGGACAGGTATGTTTGAGGGGAATAAAATCAAGAATTGTTTTGGTCATGCTACTAGACATCCAAAAGAAGAGGCTGAAAGGCAGCGAGATTATGCAACTTTGGAGTTTAGGAAGAAACCATCATTATCAGTGTTGTCCTCATTTCTACTTCCCAGGAGATAGATTATGGTGTCTCTAAGACACATTCCAGCTCAAATATTATTTGGCCCTGTGGATCTGGTTCCTGAAGTTTCCTGGACAAACTTTCTATCTAAGGACACAATGTACAAAAGGGGGTAATGCCTAGAAACAGCAATAATTATTGCTCCTAAAATATGGAAATAAAGTAATTTTGAGGCAGGAGGCAGTAAATGGCCTCTTGTAGGCCAATTTCTACCACAGCACCCTAGGAAGCAAAGAGCATTTCTCCTGTTTGGTGGGTGATCAGGGAAAACCGAAAGCTACCTACCATTTCAAAACTGTGTTTCTGAAAAGTACAGGTACAAGAAAACTTTACTGTGACAAAGTAGAGTTTGTGAGAGAGTCTAAGTGAAATATGAACTAATGTTTCCATAGAGGATCAGAGTCAAGGATTCTGACAAGTCTAGTCAAGTGTGACAACAGCTGCATTCATTCTTTCAGAAGCATATGTCCTTAGCTGACTTAGGTACCCCTTCTCCATGTTGTAGTAATAGGCAGCATATGTCTCTAGTATCATTTTACCTCGTATCATTATCTGTCCATATGTCTTTGTCCCCAAGTGTGTGTTCTAGGAGCACAGGCACTGTTTCTTATTCATCCTTGTATTCCTGTCCCTAGCAGAGAGAATGGCCTATGTAGGCACCTAATACATATTTGACGAAGCAACAGGGAAATGAATTCCTCTGTGCAGTGTCAGGTATTTTTTTTTATTTCTTTTTTTTTTTTTCTATTTCTTTTTAATTTTACTTAGATCATTTAATGACAGGAAATGGAGGTTTTCTTGAGATGTCTAGAGGAGGTAGGATTCTCCCCTTAACTCAAAGAACTAGGTCGGCTTACTATGGAGGTGTGATTTTAAAAAGGTCCAGAGCTGCTAGAGGAGGGATACACATGAATATGAAGATTTGTAGTGAAAGAACCCTACTGAAGAGGCCATGAAGAACTCTTCAAGGATGACACTTGCATGTGGCACTATGAACACATGATGCATAGGATGCCATTCACCACTAAGATTCCATGAGGCCCATCATGGGTATCTAGTTCAGTATACAATCTGATTAAGAGTTCTGAGCTACTTTTTTACAGTCCTTGATTCCAGGGTCCAAACACTAATAGGAAAGATTGAAATTATTTTCTTGGTCTTTAGGGGCTGCTATGAGACCGACCACTCGTGGGCCCACTGTTCACAGTTAAGAGTCAAGGGTAGCATCCTGAAACTTTCATTTGTATTCCAGAGTACACAAGAGATGCCTGACCCTGCTTTCTGTGCTAGTCAACCCCAAAAGGATTAAGCAAGTTTTCATAGGTTAGGTTTCATGACAGTCTGGAATGATACTCTTCTACCTACAAGAGTTAGTTAACTTGGTTACTTTGGATATAAGGTATTCACCCACTTGGTTAGATTAAGAGGCTAGTAACTATGTGAGCTACCTGTAGGAATGAGAAGTGAACAATGAATGATCACTAAGGGGCGGGGGAAGTATATAGTGTTAACTTACTCAATGCCCCATAACCAGTGTTGCCTTCCATCTAGAAAACAACATAATCATCTGGACAAGTTCAAGCTCCTGGCAGGCTGAGAACCTCCCACTGCTTTGCCCCTCTAAACTGAAGACTTACTGGGAATCGAAATGGGCCAAAGCTTAGCACAACTAAAAGGAAAGCTCAACCTCCAATTCTGCACAGAGCGCAAAGGCAGATGGAACATTCTTAAAATGACTGGATCCCTGGGGTTCGCCCAAGCAGCTCCGCAGACATCGCTGTCTATAGCCAGTGGTCATCTATCTGCCCTCCCTCATCCCAGGCCTCTCTCCGGCAGCATCCGACCGAAGCCCACAACAACCTGACGCCTGTCCACTTCCCCAGCCTCGCGAAAAATCCGACTCGCTCCGGCGCTGACCCCGCCTCGGCCCCGTGGCCCCTCGGCTCACCCCAGGCAGCAAGGCAGTCGATCTGCAGAGGCAGCTTTTCTAGGATAGGCACTGGCTCGAAAGCGTCGTGCATGGCGGCGAGGAAAAAGTCGCCGCCGCCGTCTCGCCCCAAGTGTGCCGGGCCGGGGTAGAGTCCTGAAAAACACTGGGGAAAGAGCAGACCAAAACCCAGCCAGAAACCCCAGCTACAGGCCCTTCAGCAACACAGCCAATCGTCAACACCGGACGTCCTGCTCATTAAGCCCGCCCCTTCCGCAGCCGCAGTCCCGCCCCTTCCGCCCACTACACTGTCAAGGAATTTACTGGTCCTTGGGTTCTCAGGATCCAGAACTGCTCCATTCGAAGTATAGCCACAGGCTTAACAAGGAAATAGCTCTTAATGTTAGAACTGTCCTAGGCAGTAAGCGTGGTGGTTAAGAATTAGGGCTTTGGCGTCAGAGCTGAGATAGAGAGCTGTCATTTAGGAAATGAACTGTGTTGTTTAGGAAATTTAATCTTTAGAGGACTTACTTTCCTAATCTGCAAAATGATTTTAAAGTAAATGCCTATGATCTAAGTCTCGTAAGCGCTTAGCAACACCTGGCACACTCTAAGCACTCAATAAATACTTGTGTTTTAGTATTACCATTATATCCCAACTGGTTCAAGTACCTTACCTTTACATTTCAAAGTTGTTCTGGGCAGTGGTTGTAAAAGTGTGGTCCCTAGATCGGCATCAGCAGCATCTGTGAACTTGTTAGAAATAAAAAGTTTGAGGCCTCATCCCAACTCTACTGAACCAGAAATTCTAGAGGGGAACAGTAACTATGTTTTAATAAACCCCAAAATGAGTCCATGTACGTAGAAGCTTAAGAACCACCATTGTAGGCTAGGGTTTCTCAACTGTAGCACTACTGATATTTAGGGCAGGATAATTGTTTGGGGGAAGGAGGCTATTCTGTGGAGTGTAGGATTGTATAACAGCATCCCTAACCTCCACCTACCAGATGCCATTAGCACCCTCTCTCCAGAGATATAACCCACAACGTCTTACTTTGCCAAATGTCACCTGGCAAAATCACACTGGCTGAGAGAACCATTGTTTGAGGCCAATGCTTCTCAAATTTAATGTGCATATGCATCACCTGGAGATACTGTTAAAATGGATATTTTGATTCAGTAGGACGAGAATAGGGCCCTCAATCCAGCATTTCTAACAAGCTCTCAGGTGTTGCTGATGTTACTGGTCCCTGGACATTTAGACAGCACGAGTGGATTCACTAACTCTTGGAAACCAGTACAATAAACCCCTTTTTAAATTGATGGTCACATTCCTACCAATTAAACTACCCAAAGCTGTGTCTTATATCCTAATATTCCTTTTAGGAAGGTAAGTGTCATGGCTCCTTCCTCCTATTGGTCCTGTGCTACCTGAGGTTACCTTAGTATTCCCCCAGGAGACTTATAAAACAACAAAATTGAGTTTGAGCTGTAAGAATAATCTGTGTCTGGTAACTTGCCCCTAAGAAGGTAAGTCATAAAATTAAGTATTGGGGTTTAAAGCAAAAATGTAAAAGAAAAGGGTGAGTCTACGAAATGAAGTCAAAAAACTAGTCCTGGTCACTTTATTTTTATACAATGTCAGTTTCTTCATATGTAAACTAAACTAGGGATATTTGTCTCATTTTTATCAAACACTGTTCTGATAATCAAATGGAAGTATATTTTCAAGGAGTCAGAAACACAAAAATGACTAAACAAATCTTGTGTTATGGCTGATTTTCACCACAGAAGCTTCCTAAAAATTTAGAATTACCAAGTGTTGTGCTGGAAGAAGGCCTAATACCTTTCAGTTCCAGGCCCAAGACCAAAACAAATAATATAAACTCTAAGGTAACAGGTCAATGTGAAACTATAAATTCCTTCTGAACCTGTCCTAAGAAATGACACACTATATCCAATCTCAGAAACACAGGAAGCAATTTCAGTAGAATTATCAAGCCTCAGGCTATAGAATTTGTACTGTACCTTCCTGCTTATTAACACAATCATTTTTCCCCCCTAGTCTCAAATAAACATCAAACCAGCCTCATAAAGTATTTGACCAACTATCCTACTGCATTATAACTATTATCCATTTAAGTTTTAGTATTCAGCAGCAGTACAGGACAGTATCATCAGCCTTTTGTTGATGAGTTAGCCTTAGAGTCAGTTCTTCATATTGTTCCTTAGAGATACTGCCTAGGTGACTTTTTAAAAAATCACTATAATAAAGAGCTATAGAGAAACTACTTGAATGTTAACACTTTCACTAGCTTATGAGTTAGTGAATATTGTGGTCATGTGGTCATTGATTTCAACAGGAAATATGACAACCTATAATAAAAGCTGTGGAAAGAAACTTTTTACGAGAGAGTTTGGGAGAAAGAAGGGTCTTTAGAGAAAGTTTGAAAAAAATGAGAAAAATATATTAATTTTGTTAAAATTTTTTATATTAAAAAGTGGCATGAACTTTTTACATAGAACAAAACTCTTGGGAAGGCAAAATTGAATAAAACCATTAAAACAGAAATATAATGTTTCAAATGAATCCCATCACCTTGTGATGTCCCTTATAAACAGTCTCTAAACCAACACCAGATATTAGAACAGTCAAATCCTAAAGAAAGAGCAGCAGTCCAGGGCCTCCACACTACTTCATGCAAGAATTACTGTTTAAATTAAGCCAGCAGCACCTGTTTCCTTTGTATAACTCCCTCTTCTGAAGCATACAGTCCCAATAGCAGGGTGCTCAATCACAGCACTTAGATGGAGCAGCTCTCTGCATCTAGTGCAACACCCAGTGAATGGCATGAAGGCAAACAAAGCATTGCCTAGGACTCCACAATGCCACCCTTGAAGGCTTACAAGACAGTAGTTAAAAGTTTCGGAGTGTGCACCACATTGCCAGCAATGGGATGTGTCATAATAGCAGATGTCAAAAGAGTTAAGCTAATATTTCTCTTTAAAGTACATCTGAAATAGAAAAATCTTTAATATACACCATTTGTAAACAAAATTGCACTTGATTTTGCTCTTTTAAATGATCTGCATCACACTGTAACAGTTTCTCTCTCTTTTTTTTTTTCTTTTAATCAATAGAACCATGGCTCCTTAACTAAGAAGAGCCCTTTTTTTCTTAAAACTACCTCTCCAAGATGGAACCTTGACTTCTCAGGTAAATGAAAGATAATTAATAATTTCCCCCATCACCTATGTAACTCCCTAAATAAATAAAAATTGCAGGCAGTTGCTCCTGGAGATTACATATTATGGTGTTGACACGGTCCTTTAGAAGATGTTAAACTTTTTAGTTTGACAGATTAAACAACTGAAATATTATAGAAATTTCAGGAACAACACACATAAGTTGCATAAACATCCATGTCAGGGTTTGGGAGGGAAAAGGTCATCAATGTTGTAAATAAGAAGCTTGTAGATTTTTCTCATCTTATGAAGTTATTTTCAATAAGATGTTCTCCTCATTCTGACACCTCTTGCCAACTCCAATTCCCAAAGATCAAGGAACAGATCAGGATGTCATTGCCTCCTTTAATCCTATGGAGCAGTGTAGAAGACTGACACAGAAGCTGATCTCTTCCCTGATAGTAGCCATCTTCGACTGCAAATCTTCCCATTCTTTACTCCATTTTGGATCTTTCAAAGTGTGTGATCATTCGCTCCTGGGGGGGAAAAAGGGTTTATTCTAAGTATATTTGTTTAAAATGGTCTACATTCCAAATATCTTCCACAGAGACTATCCAAACACACATTTTTCACAAGTACTTGTTTATGTTAATTAAATGTTTAGAGCAATGGTTCCTAAACATCTATGAAGATTTGGAAACATACAGTTGTGCAGGATACAAAATCAACATACAAAAATCAGATGCATTTCTATACACTAACAACTATCCTAAAAAGGAATTGAGAAAATAAACCTATTACAATTGGATCAAAAAGAATAAAATACTTAGGAATAAACCTACCAAGGAGGTAATAGACTTATACACTGAAAACTATAAACACCAATGAAAGAAATTAAAGACATAAATAAATAGAAAGATACCATATGTTCATGGATTGGAAAACTTAGTATCATTAAAATGTCCATATTATCCAAAGCAATTTATAGATTCAATGTAATCCCTGTCAAAATCCCAATGGCAGTTTTTACAGAAATAGAAAAAAATCCTAAAATTCATATGGAAACCAAAAAGGACCCCAATAGCCAATACAATCTTTGTAAAAAAACTAAAGCTGGAGCAACTTCCTAATTTCAAAATATATTACATGGCTACAGTAATTAAAACAGCATAGTACTGGCATAAAAACACAGACCAGTGAAACAAAAATAGAGTCCAGAAATAAACCTACATACATATAGTCAACTGGTCTTACAAAATGGGAAAAGGATAGTGTCCTCAATAAATGGTGTTGGAAAAACTGGATATATATGCAAAAGAATGAAACTGGACTCTAATTTTCAACACACACAAAAACAAATCAAAATTGATGAAAGACTTAAAACATCAGACCTGAAACTGCAAACCTAGGAAAACATAAGCTTGTTGATATTGGTCTTGGCAATAATTTCTTGGACATCACACCAAAGCAGAAGCAACAAGAATAAAATAGACCAATGGGACTACGTCAAACTAAAAAGCTTCTGCACAACAAAGGAAATAATCAACAGAATGAAAGGTGATCCACAGAATTGGAATAAATATCCGCAAACCACATACAGTCATGCATTGCTTAACGACAGGGATACATCCTGAGATACGTGTCATTTTATCACTGTGCGAGTATCATAGAGTATACTTACACAAACCTAGATGATATAGCCTACTATATACCTAGGTTATATGGTGTAGCATGTTGCTCCTAGGCTACAAACCTATACAGCATTTTATTGTACTAAATACTATAGCAACTGTAACATAATGGTAAGTATTTGTATATCTTAACATAGAAATGGTAGAGTAGAAATAGAGTATTATAATCTTATGGAACCACTGTCATATATGTAGTCCATCATAGACCACATGTCATTATGTGGTACATGAAATGTGGTATGTCACTGATTCTGATAAGGAATTAATATCCATAATATATAAGGAACTCCTACAACTCAATAGCAAAATACAACCACCCCAATTAGAAAATGGGCAAAGGATGTGAAATTTCCTCAAAAAATTAAAAATAGAGGCCGGGCGCTGTGGCTCACGCCTGTAATCCTAGCTCTTGGGAGGCCGAGGCGGGCGGATTGCTCAAGGTCAGGAGTTCAAAACCAGCCTGAGCAAGAGCGAGACCCCGTCTCTACTATAAAA